GAAAAATGGGGTCTTTGGAAGGATCAGAAGTTGCAAGAAAGAAGGCAAAGTGGGTTTATCCAAAGATGATGGGCTCTAACCCTTCTGAGAGATGGGGGCACTCTGCTTGCTACTTTCATGGCTTAGTTTACATTTTTGGAGTAAGTTATTCTTCCTCCTCCTTTTAATCTTGTTGAAATCTCAATATTTGCTGCCTGGTATTTTCCTTTGTTGCATGTTATATGTAGCTCAGCTCCCATTGTTTCTTTCTTTCCTTTTTAGACATTTTCATCCAATTTCTTGGTTCAATCCGTGCAGTATATGTTAGGCTCTCGTCATTTGTTGTATGTGAAGTTTGTAATTGTCTCTTCATTTCATCAACTTCTGTTCACAGACCTTGATTGATGTCTTTATACACATACCATTTTTTCTTTGGGAGTCTGTTAATTTTAGCAATGAGGGCACCGTCACTTTCTTGAACGGATATTGTGCTGTTCCTTTTTTACCCACTCCATAATAATCCTTTAATTCAAAAAAAAAAAAAAATATAAATATATTGTCTTTTTTCTTTTCGGTACCAAGGGGTGCCGCGGTGGGGTCCACTTCAGCGACGTCCTTATCTGCAACCTCTCCACAATGTCTTGGAGCGTCCTCCGAACATCGGGCTCCGGGCCGGGCCCTCGCGACAGCCACAGCGCGTGCGTAGTGGGCCACCGCATGTTTGTCTTTGGGGGCACCGACGGGTCCAGGAAGGTTGGCGACCTCCGATGTCTGGACCTGAGGAGCGGTGAGTGGGCCCGGCCCGAGTGCCGCGGGAGCCCACCGCCGGCCCGCGAGAGCCACACGGCTACAGTGGTTGGGGAACGCTGGCTGGTCGTGTTTGGGGGCAGTGGGGAAGGGGAGGCCAACTATCTGAACGACTTGCACGTTTTGGATCTGACGAGCATGNTTGGTGTGATTAGGTGGATGGTGGTGGTGGTTCTTGGCCGAGTGCGCGGGCGGGTCATGCTTCCGTGAGTATAGGCACTAAGGCGAGTAGTGTGATAATTTCGCCAAAATCGAAACCTAAAATTTTGTGTTTATAATAATGTGCTTGGTTGAGCAAGTGGCTCTTATAGATTACAGGATGTGAATGTGAATGCTTATTGTTTTGAGAATTCTGTTTTACTCTGTTTTTGGGCTTGATTACTTCTCTGTTTTCTTGTTCTTACTGACATTGTTAGCGGTCAATAATGAATTCGAGATTCATGTGAATGATGTTATGTGCAGGTGTACGTACTGGGTGGAGTTGGCGACAAACAGTACTTTAATGACATCTGGGTTCTCGACATTATCACGTCTTCTTGGGCTCGAATTGACGTGGCTTGTCAAAAATCTCAAGGTCGATTTTCGCATACGGCCACCGTCACAAATATGGGGATTGCCGTGTTTGGAGGGTGAAATAACTTTTGATGATATTCGTGAAAAATCTATTAAGTTTTAATTTTCTTTTAGCCAAATAGTTTTATGTTTGCTTGGTTTCTCATTTTTTAACATTTCAGGTGCGGCGAGGACGAACGTCCCCTGAACGAACTGCTCGTTTTGCAGATCGACTCCACAGCATGCAGACCTCTTGGAAATAGATATAATGATGAAACAGAGAATCTCTCGAATAAAGCAGAAAATACATTGGTAAGAGTAGTGCACTGGCGTATAAGTGACTGGTAACTAATAGTTACATTTTATACAATTGTCTTATGGAAGCTCATATGCAAAATCATTGCAAATTTCTCGTGGCAGATGAAATTTATAGCGGACAATGAAGATGCACATTCACCAGAAGTTGAAGAAATTGAGTTCGTTCCCAGGCAGTCCCCTCATTTTAGTTCCGGTAGACATCGTAAATAAATTGATAAAAATTGCATTTGATAGGATTAGTTGCAAACTTGCAATTAACCCCTTAAAGAATGTATGTAACTTTTCGAGAAAACTAATTGTTCCGTTTCACCTTTGGTGGTTTTGAAGATATGTTGCACCCGAAGAGGAGACGAATGAGAAACTTGAATTTTGCGGAAAGAAAATCCGAATTCGAACGTCATACTCATTCACTTTCACAGCAATCGTCACCATCCAATTCTGATCACGTTCAGAGTCCCATCAAAAGAAGTATCAACAACATAATCTCTTATCCATCCCCTGAATTGCATCCGATGTTCAGGCAAAAGCTTCCCACGCCAGGCTGTCATGAGCTCGATAATGCTTCAAAAAATCAAACATGCCCTAATAAACACACTTTTCCTAGTACATGCCCGAGCATATATTTGTCGCCCGGGCATCAAAATCATATAAAATGCCGAAATTTGGTACGATAGATAAAAATTCTAACTAATTTATCTCTCTTTCTTCATTTTCGACGATATTTCATGTGTTTCATGTAACAACAGATTGGAGCTGAAGTACACGGGCAAGTAGACGGCGCATTTGATTCGGGCTACCTAATGACAGCCACTGTTAATGGAAGGGTTTTTAGAGGAGTGTTGTTTGCTCCTGTAAGTATCTTGCTATTACTTAAAGCAATAAAAATATCAATTTACAATATATACTTTGAACATAAACGTTTCTGTCTCGAGTCTAACATGAATATCAGTTTTTTTTTTTTCTTAAAAATAATATAAAATTTATTATCACGAATTTCTAAATATTTTTAATCTAATTATAGGGACCGGATTTTGTCCCCAGAGGTGACCAATATTCCATCTCCAAGACCAACTGCCCCATAATCAATCGTGTGAATTCTGGTCCAAATATTGAGTCAAGGCATTTCCAGCAGCATGCGAAAAGGTTTGCACCGTGTGAATTACAGAGTGACTCGAGAAGATTGTCTCCGGAAAACCAAGCTCGTCGGTATTCAACAAATGATTCAAGGGCTAATAGTACAGAACTTCAAGGCGTGGAGCTAACTCTGGCGAGTCCAGGAAGCATATAGGCTAAGCTAGCTCATTTTGGTGACTCAGAATCAACCTCATTTCAATCTTACCTTCCCTTTTTTTTTTTTGGTTTGTTTGTTTGTTTTGAAGTGTAGATTTGAAGTTATTTTCCAGTGGTTGTAGTATCTGATTAGGTTAGGTTAGTTTGTGTATGATGAGAAATGTAAGACTTATCTTGGCAAAAGAAGGCTCCAACAATATGGACAAATGGGGCACTGCATGTGTTTTTACTATAATAATATATAATATTTGCAAGAAATGATTTCTTGATTTAATTTAGTCAAATACGCCGAGTTCATAAAGTCGAAGTTAATCAGGGAAATTTCATCATAGGCCTTCGATATAACATTGACAATGCTTTGAGTTTAGTCTTGTTTATGCAGTATGTAGATAAACTTAAGTCTTAGATGATATGGATAGAATTGAGTAAAAGTAATACAATTCACTGTAATACAAAGAGACCGGGCTTCTACTTGAGTCTAAAATAGACTTACGGATAGACCGAGTGTATTATTTTTTTTTATGCCACATCAGCAAGACCCGGTCCAATTGCACTTGCATTGGAGAGTATAATTTTTTAGTCTGAGTTTATTTTCTATGTGGCATATAATTTTTTTTGAATGAACCCAAACATTGGATGCTCTTATATTTTGCTTATTGCGAACCTTACACGTTCTTGCAATTTTAACCAAATTTTGGAAAATTAGCAAATATAACATAACATTGTCTTAAGTTTGCAATCGGAATCCAAAGTCAGCATGTCCGGCGTTTGATCCTACATAGACTACATTTCTTACTTCAAAAAGAATCCCTGCCCAAAATCGTTGCCCTCTCGGTAAATCCCTAAATTACTGTCATCTTTGTCGACGATTTTCCTTGGAGTTACGCGTTCGAGGAGGGCGCCCTGTCTCCTTCTCTAGTCAATCGAGTACGGGTCGAGGCCTATTAAGAAAAAATCTGCCATGACCATCGAGTCCATAACCTCCGACCCCGACCATCTGACGAAAACCTCCACCGCCAAATCCGTCGATCGATGTTGCATGCCGCGAATCTCTCAAACCCAATCGTCGACACACCACGGAGGTTCACATCTTATTTGTTGATTATCGCGAATGCTCCCAGGCGGAGACCGCGAGGCGACGATCGAGTGGTTAGCGTTGCCGTCGAGATTCAACTGTGGCTAGGGCTGGCCGGCTGCAGTGGTTTGCGCCACCGGCGAGATTCGACTGTTGGAACAGACGCTAGGCCGAACGGTCAACAATTTATTAATCTTTCTATTATATAATTATTTAAATATAATAATTATTTTTTATTATTCAATAAATATATTTTTTAATTGATTAATTTGAGTCATTAATCTAGATAGAATCAACGGCTAGGATTGAGTCTTACGTACTCATTTTAAGGAGTTGACTCATTTGATTACATGAGTTATTTATTTATTTTTTTTATCTTAGTGTGGAGATTGGAAGCCCCGTGAGGAACAAATTTGGCCCGAAAATTGACCGGAAACAATGGTTGAGTAGAAAGGTTCGTTGGAGACATGTAGAAAAAAGCGGAACTCAATTCCATGTCTGGACGAGCTCGAACGGGCTCAAAACGCGAAGTCGCGCGAAACACGTCTTTGGTGTGTTGGTCATAAGCTTTGGGAGAATAGTATTTTAAGAATAATTTGGTCATACAAGCATCATTGAATAGAGGGGTTAGTTGGCGACGCGTAGAAAAAAACGGAACTCAATTCCGAGTTCGAACGAGCCCAAACGATCCCGAAACGTAAAGTCATGCAAACCGACGTCAATACTAGGTACCAAATTCGCAAAAACGTAAAGGTCAGGTTGTATTTTCGCAATAAATAAAGAATAGGTACCAAAATCACAATTACCCCATAGTACAAGTACTAAAATAACAATTACCCTTGCAAGAAATGATTTCTTGATTTAATCTAGTCAATTACGCCGAGTTCATAAAGTCGAAGTTAATTGGGGAAATTTCATCATAGAGTTAGAACTTAGAACATTTATAATGCTTTTGAGTTTAGTTTTGCTTATGTAGTATGGAGATAAACTTAAGTCTTAGATGATATGAATAGAATTATGTAAAAGTAATACAATTCACTTTAATGCAAAGAGACCGGTAGAGGTGGCCAAATGTTGTGACGGTTCACGACTCAGCCCGGCCCGCCTGGTCGATGGGCCTCATATGCTGGGACCGTAACTGGCCCGGCTATTCCTATGGGCCAGTTCAAGTGAACCGGCCCAACTTGACGGTTCAATGAACCAACGGGTTTTTATTTAAAAAAAAAAATAAATAAAAATAAAATCAACTATGACCCGCCTTCCAACCCGTAGCCCGACCCAACCCGGCCCGGGCCGCCGGGACCAAAAAAGAAAATGAAGAACCGGAATCGACCCGCATGGTCAAGGTTCTGGTTCAACGAACCGGTGAAATCCGAGCCTACTGCAGGCGGGTTCGGGACCGATTCCGATGCGGTCGGAACCCGCATGTCTAGAGACCGGGCTTCTACTTGAGTTTAAAATAGACTTAAGGGTAAGTTGGGCGTATTTTTTTTGTTTTTTTTTTATGCCACATCAGCAAGACCTGGTCCAATTATACTTGCATTTGAGAGTATATGCTTTTAGTCTGAGTTTAATTTCTATGTGGCATATAAATTCTTTTGAATGAACCTAAACATTGTGGATGCTCTTATATTATGCTTATTGCGGACCTTACATGTTTTTGCAACTTTAACCAAATTTTAGAAAATTATAGCAAATATAACATAACATTGTTTTAAGTTTGCAATCGGAACCCAAAGCATGCGTGTCCGGCGTTTGATCCTACATGGACTACATTTCTTACTTCAAAAAGAAGCCCTGCCCAAAACCGTTGCCCTTTCTGTAATCCCAAAACTACTGTCTTCTTTGCTGACGATTTTCCCAGGAGTTACGTGTTCGAGGAGGGTGCCCTGTCTCCTTCTCTAGTTAATCGAGTACGGGTCGAGGCCTATTAAGAAAAAATCTGCCACGGCCACCGAGTCCACAACCTCCGACCCCGACCATGCCGGCTCTGAGTGAACCCTCCGATGAAAATCTCCACCACCAAATCCGTCGGCCGACGCTGCATGCCGCGAATCTCTCAAACCCAATCGCCGACACACCACGGAGGTTCACATCTTATTTGCCGATTTTCGACGCTACATGGCACTGCGAATGCTCCCAGGCGGAGACCGCGAGGCGGTCGGGTGGTTGGCGTTGCCGCTGAGATTCGACTGTGGCTAGGGCTGGTCGGCTGCAAGGGTTGGCGTCACCGGCGAGATTCGACTGTTGGAACAGACGCTAGGCCGACCAGTCAACAATTTATTAATCTTTCTATTATATAATTATTTAAATATAATAATTATTTTTTATTGTTTAATTAATAATTTTTTTAATTCATTAATTTGAGTTATTAATCTAGATAGAATCAACGCCTAGGATTGAGTCTTACGTACTCATTTTAAGGAGTTGACTCATTTGATTACGGTAGTTATTTATTTATTTTTTTTATTTTTTTTACCTAGCATTCTATTTNTACACACATGCAATATTTTAATTATTTATTACAATCAATCGTAATTTGCTATTTTCAGTTACAAAACCAAGATTTCCACTCGTCCTTTTCTTTTTTAATTAATTAATTTATTTAAAAGACATCACTACTGTTTTAATATTGCTAAGGTCCAAGAAGCATGACTTCGGTTCCTCGTCAGATCTTCTTCAGCTTGTGATACGGTCAAAGATGAACAACTCCGGCCCTTCAGAGGGTTCTTCCCGGTTATGATGTGGAAGCGCCCTAACTCGGTCTGGTCCAATCTTGAACGTTCGCGGGTACCTGCAAGAGCGCCGGAATTGCTCCGGCACAAAACCCTCCGACGCTCAAGTCAATATCTTCGAATATAGAGAGAGAGTTGAGAGTAATAAATATAGCAGCGAAATAAAATGAGAGCTTGGCCAGATACCTGCGGCATTTAGCATATATATAGCGTTTAATTGTACGAGTTACCTTTGGCTCGATGCCAGGACATATGGGTCGGCCTCCGGGTCTAAGTTCGACCCCTTGAGTGGGTCGACGCCCCACTCGACCTCCGGTCTATGCTCGATCAGTAAAGTCATCAACCCTCGGTCTATGCTCGACCATTTAGACCATTAGGCCATTAGACCATTAGACCATTAGACCATTAGACTAATAGACCATTAGACCAGTAGACCAGCAGACCAGTAGATCATTAGACCAGTAAACCATTAGACCATTAGGCTAATGGCCGAGTAGGCGCTTGCTTGGCCTCCATCTCACAGGTCTTTGTCCGGTTAGACCGAGTCGATATTATAATCACTATTCGGCAGCTAAGGGGAAGGACCCGCCATGACCTCTACCTACTTCTTCCAGATCTCTCTACTTGTGGGCTTGTGTCTCATAACATAGTCTTCTAATGACTGAACTAATCCATCATTGACCAACATTTTTCACGTTTATCGTTTTTGAAGAGTAAATAAAAAATTTACTAAATATAAATTCCTTTAATCACTCTTTTTTTCTAATTTTTTTTAACAAATATAATTTTAGCAGTATCAACGTGGCCGGATTCAAAAGTCATGCCCGCAATCGNNTAACCGTTTCGATTGGTTGATTGGTTTTTATTTTTTTTGTTAACCATAGGTAATCACGAGTTAGTTCAGTTAAGTTTGAGTGAATTTTGAATATATATATTAGAATAATATTTAAAATAAAATAATTAAAGTTGATTTGATGTAAAAAATAAGAGAAATTAAAATGACTGAAAGTGACGAATACTTAAAATTATGTGAATTGATAAATAGTGAATTAAAATTGCTGTGATGTGTGAATACAATTGGTTGATATTATTTAATTATATTGATAATATTGAAAATATTAATATTGAGTTAATTTTGAATTAAAAATAATAATTAATTAAAAATGGTTGAAAAATCCTTGTCCAAGCACCCTCTTATACCATGTGCATTAGTACATGTAAATTGTCATCTAAATACATGGTGAGATGTTAAAACAAATGAAAGCCATTCATTCAATTATTAAAATAGTGAGTCCCACATTCAATATTCAATCAATTAAACGTCACTGTTAAATATTTTTTCATTTCCCATATTATTTTAATAAATAATGGGTCTCACATTTATCTATAAACGTCACTGTTAAATATTTTTTCATTTCCCACTAATTCTTTTATTATTTTAAAAAATA